ATATATATATATATATATATATATATATATATATATGTTACATGAATATCAAGGTGTTGTTGGATGAAACCTTAGTTTAGTTGGCTATTTTATGTATTCTACAGCATAGTAACTATGTTATATACAAGGTGTAGTGACTTGTTAAATCGTTATAATATTTTAAATCATGTATATCAAATTTCACATAATTTCAAAATTATTTAGTAATTTATCATATTATTTTATTTTAACGTATAATATAATATTTACAATATGTATAAATATCTATTTTTGATAATATATTTAAAAAGATAAAATCATGTAAAATTTGATATATATGATTTTGAGTATAATGTTATATAATTTAACAGTTAAATCAATTAAATTTCTATTATATGTAAAGTTATTAAAAGTATAAGATTTTGTGTAGATTTTTGAGTTTACATTTGTTATTAACAAATTTTTCTCTCTCTCCATCTATCTATTACTTGATTTGTGTAATATTTTTTTTTTCTGTCATGCAAACTGTACCGGAGAGACCGTATCGGTCACGTGGGCCAACACGTGCCATTTCGTCAGACACTCATGCATAGCCACGTACAAGCATCACCATCAACGTCGGCTCGGCATGAGGCCGAGAACCGACATCAGTCTGGTTAATGCCAATATGGACCATCATCACTCATCGAGTCGGCTCGGTCAAGTACCGTTCCGACATAGATCATACCGGAAGTATACAGGCTGCCGTATACGGACTAGACGGTTCGGTCATTTGCTGTTCCGACTAGTATTGAATAGCCGGCTCGGCCTCTTGCCGAAGGGTTAAGCAAGTCATAACGGTAATCACAATCAAGAAAGGTAAGTACATGATTAAAGCCTAACGACCAATTAGTACCGTATTACCTAATTTGGTAAATATCTGAGAGGGCCCATCACGCTCAGGCCCATGTCAGATGCTATAAATAGGTCACACATAACAAGGTATGTCACTGTTCATTTATTACCCTAGAAAATCGTGCTCACACTGACTTAAGCGTCGGAGTATCTTTTGCAGGTACCTCCCCCTCCGAAGAATCCACCTGAAGCTCTCGTTCGGTCCTCATATTCCCCTGAAGATTACGAGTGTACCCTCAGGCAGGTACACAAATTATTGGTATTATGTCGTTGTTGTTGTTATTATAAGAAAAATTAGCATAACTTATTGACGTAGTTTATTTTATCTATAAGTCTGGCATAAGTAGGATACTTGGGATCTAACTGTATAAGTAGTTTTTCAGTACATTAAGAATGAAGAATCTCTACTTAAATTTCTTACCGGTGTCCGTCCAATCATTAATTATTCTTTGTACTTCAATGATAAGAATTAAGTAGTTATCACTTTCTACATATTTATTAGTTTTTAATTAATTGTTTCTTACCTAAGTTCTTTTTTTGGTTTGTGTGTCTTACCTATTATGTACATATATTAAAATAAAAAATAAAAAATACCGAATAACATTTATTATATTAAAATATAAAAAAGACAAAATAAAAAATTAGTTCTTTTAAAGTAAAATAAATAAAAGACTTTATGAAGAATTATTTATGAGCAATTTCAGAATATAAAAAAAGCTTTTTTTTTTAAAGAAAAGGATTGTAACAGTGTGAAAGAAATTAGTCTCTTATGTGATTATAATATTTTTTTTTATTATATGTTCTTTAACGTAGTATAAATGCAAAATATTTGAATAGATTTCTTGTTGCCGCCTGAGTAAAATTCTCATGTAAACCATACAAATGTAAATAATAATAAAAAGTGAAAAGAAAATTTGATTTATTTATTTTTTGTTTTGAATATTTTTAATCAATTTAAAATAAAACTTAATAATAAATGCAAATATGCTATTCTAATATTTTTTTTTATCATCTTTGATGAAATATTAATCTCATAATTATGAGGTGGAGAAGGAGGGGGAAAAAAAAAGATTGCTAGTTAATTTGTTAATGTATGTGATATAGATTGGTAGCGAAAACGTCTTTAACCTTTTCAATGAAACGAAAGGGGAATCGTAGAAATCGGCAGTAAAAAATATAAAATAAAAGTACCACGTTCATCGAAGAACATATAAAAAAAAAATAAACAAAATGTTGAAACTTGAAAGGAAAATGGTCCGTTACAAGAGGCGAAAAGGAAAGGGTTAGTAACTGGGATTTTGTCCCACAAACACATTTCAAAATTTTTTAGTTAAATTTTTTTTTTCTGATTTCTTTATTTAAATAAAGCAATTTAATTGCATCACATGTAAACTTTTATTTACGAACATTTACTTTTAAAAAATGATTTGGACATAAAAATTACTAAAATACGCATTAGTCAAAATCTAAAAGTAATTTATAAAATAGAAAATTTAAAAAAAAAAATCAAATTAAACATTTTTTAATAATCAATAAATACAAAAGCATATATAAAGTAGTCAATATAATTATTTTAACATAATTTTACGATTATTTGTATCTCTGATTTAATATATTTACTAATAATTAATAAATAAGCATTTAGAGAAATAGAGGAGAAAAAAAATGATAAATAGTAAGAAAGAAGATGTAATTGAGTAGGGAGTAGGGAGTGTAGGAACGGCGTTGTCATTTGAAAAATTAATTTAATTTAATAAAAATAAACATTAAACATTAAATTTCCTTGAAAATTTAAGTTTCGTGAAAGGACATGCATGTGTGTCATGAAGGGTACACGTGCCTGCTCTGTACTAAAACAAATTACACTACCCTAACAGTTAGTCAAACAGCCAAAAAAAAAAAAAAAGTGATAGTTTCCATTTTGTAAATAGCTTTAAAGTTATAAAGTAAAATAAATAAGGAGACAGTGGCATGCATAAAATAAATAAATATATTTGGAGAGCAGAGGATCCAGCTCGGAGGTGACGCTACGAATCAGAGCCATTTTAATTTCTTAACTGGACCACTCCAACACGTGGGCCCCACACCGAACCTTCCCTCAATTCTTTTAATCCAGCGCGACACACTCGGCGTTCCCTGCACCTGAACGTAGGCTAACACTTTCCTCCAAAAAGCGAGTTATATTCTTCTCTATTTCCCTTTCTCCAACCTCACAGCAGAAGAGGTTTTGCTATAATATTAATACGTGACACCCACCACACCACTCTCCGCACCCGTATCCTTTTATTTTTTATTTTTTATTTTCTCACCACAGCGCAACCGAACCTCGCTCCATGGCGCCAATTCCCTAACCGAACCCAACACAAGACAAGACAGAGACTTCCTCGTACAAGCGAAATGAAGTCCGCGCGGGTCAGACAAGCGATCCTCCTCACGGTTCTGGCGTGGGCGTTCGCCATTGCAGGTTCGGATCTAGCTTCGGACAGAGCAGGGTTGTTGGCTCTGAGAAGCGCGGTGAGGGGACGCACGCTCTTATGGAACGCCAGCCAAACGAGTCCTTGTTCCTGGACAGGCGTGGTTTGCACCGGTGGGAGAGTAACCCTGGTGCGCCTCCCCGCTATGGGCCTCACCGGTTCGCTCCCCTCCGGTTTGGGAAACCTCACCCAACTGCAGACACTCTCTCTCCGGTTCAACGCGCTAACCGGACCAATCCCCGCGGATTTCGCCGGTTTGAAAGCGCTTCGCAACCTCTACTTGCAGGGGAACTTCTTCTCCGGCCAAGTTCCCGATTCCGTCTTCGCCTTGCAGAACCTCGTCAGGCTGAATTTGGGTCACAACAATTTCAGCGGCGAGATTTCGCCCAAATTCAACTCGCTCACTCGCTTGGCCACTCTTTATCTAGAGCGCAACAATTTCACTGGCTCCATCCCTGACCTAAGCGTTCCACCGTTGTATCAGTTCAACGTGTCTTTCAATTCCTTATCCGGTCCCATTCCCGAGCGTTTTTCGCGTTTGGACCAAACCGCGTTTCTCGGAAACTCACTCTGCGGGGAGCCTCTGCAGCTCTGCCCCGGAACCGGAGAGAAAAGCAACAAGCTCTCCGGCGGTGCCATTGCGGGGATTGTAATCGGTTCTGTCTTCGGTGTGCTTTTGATTCTGCTCCTTTTCTTTTTCTTGTGTAGAAAAAGGAGCCAGAAGAGTTACAATGAAACCGCTCCACCTGGGAAGCGTGTTGTAGAAGGTGAAAAGAGTGAGGTTCGGAGTGGTGGTGAGGCTGGGAATTCAGGTTCGGCCGTGGCGGGTTCGGTGGAGAAGAGTGAGGTTCGGAGTGGAGACAAGAGTTTGGTGTTTTTTGGGAATGTGAATAGGGTGTTCAGTTTGGATGAGTTGTTGAGGGCTTCTGCGGAAGTTTTGGGGAAGGGGACTTTTGGAACGACTTACAAGGCGACATTGGAGATGGGGGTGAGTGTGGCGGTGAAGAGGTTGAAGGATGTTACTGCAACGGAGAGGGAATTCAGGGAGAGGATTGAGCAAGTGGGGAAGATGGTTCATCAAAACTTGGTCCCACTTAGGGGTTATTACTTTAGCAGGGATGAGAAGCTTGTTGTGTATGATTACATGCCCATGGGAAGCTTATCTGCTCTCTTACATGGTAGGATACTACTACCCTCTTTCATGCCTTTGGTTTTGGACAATAGTGTACTGTCTTGGTGCTATGGCTTGCTTTTGTTTCTAGATCAGGTGAGTGAATGATTGTGGCTGTTCTTGTGTCCACTCAGTGTTTGCTCTTTAGGTGGCTACTTGTTGTTTTTATGTTTCTAGATGCTTTTGGTGTTGGCGGTGTTGCTCGTTCAGTTTTGTAATGTACTGTCATGGCCTGGTTTTATGTTCTGCTAACTGTCTTGTCTAGAGTGTGGCTCCATTTCATCACATCTTCTGCCTGTCGGATTTTGGTTTTCTTTTCTCGGTTTAGTGGCAAAATTGATGTTTGATTATGATTTTCTAGTTTGGTAATGGATGCCAATGCATCCAGAGTGAAGTCTGGACCAATGAATTATTTCTTGTTAGTAAATGTTTTCCCTTGAAGTAATGTTGACAGCATAAGGTTCTAGGATTTACTTCTTGCATGTTAAATATTTAATTGGTGAATGTGGCATAAGATTCTATATTTAAGGAATTCAAATGTAGGCTGCATTTGCAATGATTTTGAACTGGGATGCGAAAAAAAAAAGGATTTTGACTTGGATGGTATAAAGTCTGGCACCGTATGAATTATGATCTGACATTTTTATCTAATGCATCATTCTGTTTTTGTTGCTATAGCAAATGGTGGGGTGGGGAGGACTCCGCTAAATTGGGAAACAAGGTCTGCCATTGCTCTTGGCGCTGCTCGTGGGATTGCATACCTTCATTCACATGGCCCAACATCCTCACATGGAAACATCAAGTCATCGAATATCCTTCTCACCAAATCCTTTGAAGCTCGTGTCTCTGACTTTGGCCTTGCCTACCTTGCTCTCCCAACCTCTACACCTAACCGTGTTTTTGGTTACCGGGCGCCAGAGGTCACTGATGCGCGCAAAGTATCTCAAAAAGCTGATGTCTATAGCTTTGGTATCATGCTTTTGGAGCTTCTTACTGGGAAGGCTCCCACTCATTCTTCATTGAATGAAGAAGGGGTGGACCTCCCAAGATGGGTTCAATCTGTGGTTCAAGATGAGTGGAACACTGAAGTATTTGACATGGAGCTCCTGAGGTACCAGAGTGTTGAGGAGGAAATGGTCAAGCTCTTGCAGCTTGCCCTTGAATGTTGTGCTCAATATCCTGACAAGAGACCTTCAATGGAGGAGGTGGCAAGCAAGATTGGGGAAATTTGTCTTCCTAGTTTAGAGAAAGAGGAAGGGAAGAATCAAGGTTTTAAAGATGCAGATAACGGATTTTCCCAACAGTACTACTCTGTTGACTCGGGTGTGTCACATGCTTGAATATAGAATTGAAGAAAGACCTCATTATTTCATCATTAGCCTGTTTTTGGCATGCATATTATACAAGTGTTGTTTGTTTGTTTATTCATTGAGGGATTATAGAAACCAGCTGTGTATGTCCATTGTCTTACACTCTTACTACCTTCTTTTCCTTAGTCCCTTTTGTTATTCTAAGTCTTGGGGTTGGGAGTTTCTATTCCCCACTTTATTTACTACTTCATTATATTCCTGAAAACACGTTTATTTATTTTCATTTTTACAAGAATATGCGTGAATTGTGAATAACTTGTTTGGATATCTTCATTGATGCTTCTCCCTCCTATTCTAAGTTTTATTGGGATGTATCTTCTTTTTTTTTTTTTTTTTTTTTTTTAATAGCAATGAGGCAAGGTCTTATTAGTCCGGCCAATAGTTTGCCAATAACTGAACTAGAAGTTGCTAATCATCTTAGGTCAGTTTGTCTTTTTTTTTCTTTTTTTTTTAAATTACATTTTTTCAATTAAAATGTTTAAGATGAAGATTTTTTCTTCAAAAAGCATAAAATTTGAAAGAGAAAAAAAATGTTTTTTTACTGCTTTTCTTGTAAGTTAAGAAAAGTACCAAAATTATAAATAAAAAGGACAGATAATGTGACCTGCCTTAAAAATAGTGACAATTATACTAAGATCATTACATGATTTAGACATAATACTTGTCCAATGATATCACGTGTACAGTTTGTACATGAAAATACGAAAACGCGTGTAATTTTTAGAAATGATGGATGTAAACACGTAAAAGTAATATAGAATAAGGATTACATGTGTAATTTTTGAATTAAGATAAAGTTAAGTATAATCATTGTTGATCTATAAATCAATCCCTAAAGAAAATCATATTATTACCGTATTCTTTATGAAAAATTATCTAAAAGCAGCCTAAGTCAAGTGCCTCCGATTAGAGGAATGATCCTCTGGAAATGACATTATCACTGCATAATTAAATAACTCGGATTTTTGAAAAGATATGAATAATTATATACCAAGTCAAAATAAAAACTAAAATTATATAGTGATGAGATTGAAATAATATAGATAAGGTCTTTGTTATTCAAAGTATTAGATATATACATATATATATATATATATATATATATATATATATATTTAACATTGAGATATTTCTAATAATAATTCGATTACTTGAGTTGTCATTACTTAAGAATGAACACGCTAGAAGTATTAAAAATATTCACCTTTTTAATTATGAAAAAAAGTACCACCTTCTTTAAATTTGCCATCGTAGAAAAAAATATATTATCAATTTAATGATTTTATTACGTTACTCCTATTTAATGTATTAAAGTCTATTTTTTCTGTGTGCATGTGTTTATGTGGTATCCTGATATCCTATATTTTAGATAATAGTTGTCTCAATATCATGTTTAATGTCTGTGTCAAAATTCATGCTTCACAAATAATAGTCGATTAAGAGAAGTCTTTAGTATACTAATTAAAAAATATATATTTTAAAGCAGAATTGCTTGCTTTATTTTAAAATATTTATATGATTATTCTGTACAATAATTTTAAAATATTAAATATTTTTAAAATTTGAAATATAGAAATTTATTTATTAGTTACTCATCCTATTCTGCTTTGGCTCTTTTCTATATATGCCTTGTGTCTTCAAATACATGGCCTCAGATCAAGATTGACATAGAAAATTTTGTGTCAAGTGGTTTCCTTTTAAGGCATTTGTTCTTGATCTTGGAAATTGACATATATTCTTTGTTGCACACCTTTTTGAGTGAGAAAGAGAGCATTTATTCTTTTAAATATTTACCACTGCCAAAGAAAAAGTACATTTAGTTGCATTCGAAAATGTTTTATTATGCTTCTTTTGCTTTTTGATTCAACTTCAGTTTGTTGAAACTTAGTTGTAAAGAATTATGCTTTCCAACTTTTAATCTAAAATTATGGTCATCCGAGAAGAAAAGACAGATAAATCATAAAAGTGAAACGTGACTTGCTTTCGCTTCTGATGCAATTTTGATTTGTTGAGACTGAATTGTTTCAGTTAGTTTGCCAAGTGATGATCTTAGTTAAGTGAAATCAAATACTTCACCACATGCTTCTAGACATGTTATTTTAGTAGCATCACATATAAGTGTTAAGATTCTAGTGGAGGAGGTTGGGAGTGTAATGTCAGGAACATTATACACTCATTAAATTTTAAATGAAAATATTCTGCTTATTTGTTACAAGAACCTTAAATATATTAATAGTTTATCAAAATACAAAATGTAATCGATTAATCTGAACTGAATGATTTTTTATTATGTTTGAATTTCAAAATTTTTACCTTTAAAGAATACATCAATTGTAAATTTGTAATTTGTTTCCTCATAAAAGATGACAAATGTAAAGATATTAATATAATTATATAATAACATTATTTGTTTTTACATTTACTTTTTCATGCAAAAATAAAATTATTATTTTGGAGACCTCTTATTTAATAAATATAATTTTATGTATTTATATTTTAAAAAATAGGATACAATTTATATATATTAATTATATTTTTATTATTAAAATTTTCATTTAAAAGATAATTCGACGGATATTTTTCTAATCATAAATATCTTAGATTAAATATTTATCCCAATTTATATATATAAACTTGATTAAATAATAAAATGAACTTTATTTATTTTTTATTTTCAATTTTTTTATTATATAATTAGAGAAAATAAAATAAAAATATGACAAATGACACAAAAGTGTGTGCCTTGAATTTTTTATTGCAATTTGCAATCCTTAACAATAATAGAACGTGACAATTGATTCCCTAAATTCTATTATTATGATGGAAAAAAAAGGAAGTAAAATCATGATTATCGATTTCAAGGCTAAGGCCTACGTTGGTGTGTTGCAATTTTGCATCAAAATATGAATTCAATTGTTACGTATACGTTTGGATGCGTTTAAAATTTCGTTTAACGAAAAAAATATATGTTCTTATGTAAATAAAAGAAAAGGTTTGCGGTTATAATTTCTTCTTCTTCTTCTTAATTTTAGTTGAATTTAACTCAAGTGATTTTCAAACACACTTTACATCATTGTGAAATATTCTTGGAGCCTATAAGTAATTACCAATTTGAATGAAATAGGTTGATAGTTGGAACATGGATTGTGCACTAGGTGCTAGTAATGGTACAAGTTAGAGAAAGACATTTAAGAGGTAGAAAAAGAATAAAGAAAATAATATTTTACTATTTAAAATGTTAAATAAATAACTTTATAATTGTTAAAAAAATAAAAAATAAGGAGAGGACAAGGCCCTCGTATGACTCAACTTACATTTGTTTCTAGATATAACCTTTTGTTTTGTTCACAAATATGATATTCAAGCTATTAGAATTGATGTCAAAGAAACATTCAACTCAATTACTTAACAAAGTAACCAAACATGGACAATCATTCTAAATGAACGAACATGTGAAAACAATGTCTTTCAAGCTTATAGATATTTATGTTTGCATGTCTTAATTGTCTATGTTTATGTCCACATAGATTTTTTTAATTATGTCGATATGTATTCAAACACAACATAATATAAACATATGACACTAGTAGCCTGTTTGTGGTAATAACAATATCCCTCCTAGTAATGTACCTCACATTGTTCCTAATCGATCTATGTTGTTTATGCACCTAAAATTGATATTCACAACTTTAAACAAATAAGCACTTGTGCATAAAAAATATTGATATTTTCTAATCAATTACTTTGTATATTTGTTAATCGCATTTACGAACCAAGATGGAAGACATCTAGTTATGGTGTGGTAAATGATTTTGAACTTTATGATTTAGTATGTTTTGGATAAGTCATTGCTTTTTCATAGCTATAATTCATAGTAATGTATGAATTATTTCTTTCATGTAACATCCCAAAAATTTTATTCTTATGTATTGGGATTATTAGAAGGATTATCATATTTTTATACGTATTTTACTATTTACGTATACGTATTTTACTATTTCACCTCATCTTTGATATTTTGTGGAGGGTAATTTAGTAATTTTTTTTATGATTTCAGAAGTCCAGAACGGGCCGTTCCAAAACTGGAACGGGTCGTTCCAACCTTTCAAAAAGACATACTTTTTTTGCTA